GCCCTCTTGGGCCAACAGTGGTTCTTGAGACCAGGAACACCAGCCAGGACTCGTGGTGTGGGGATCCCGGAAGGCCTGTGAAGAAAGGCTTTGAGAAGTGGCAAGGGCAAGCCAGGATGGGCAAGTGCTGTTAGAGACAGTCCTGCAGTGGCCTTATCTGAATTATCTAGGTGGAAATCTCCAGGGTCTGTCATTAGAGTCATTGGGCATTTGTGTCACCAGGTTCAAACACGGTTCTGTCAACATAAGGAGTTGGAGCAGGGGTTGTGATGTTATTTAGTAGGGACATTAAAAACCAAGGAAATGAGGGGACGGTTTCCTAAAGTTCTCTCCTGGGTCGTGTGTACTTTTTCAAAATTTTTATCCAGGCTGTGGGACAGAGAGCAGCTAAGATCAAGAGATGACTTAGACTTTCAGACATCTGGCAATGAGAAGGGTCCTGGAATGTGGCAAATTATCTTTTTCCTTGGTTCACAGTCTCTGTTTCCTTTATTAAACAAAACAGAGTTAGTGTACATACTCCCACTTTCCCAGAGTTAGTCTGGACAGTTGCATACTGGTGCCAACCTTGTCAGCATTCCAAAATTATTTTAGCTACATGCAAACATACAAAGAGGTCAGAGACCCCCCCCATCTAAAATGTAGTTATGTCAAACTTTTGAGAGTTGACTATCCCATTTTGCATTGATTAGGTCTAAGTTGTATATTATTAAATTAGTAACTATCAAAAAATTTATTTTACTTTGGCAACTGGTTTATGTGCATTTTTAGACATATCACTGTTCTTGAGGGCCAACGGCTGACTTGATGTCTGTCCTCTGGATTATCTTGCATTTGTAAAGAAGGAAAACTATCCTAAATGACAAAGTAGACCCACCTCAGGGAGATGGTGGAAGAATCAAATCACAGAGAACCTCAGGCAAACAGGATAGCAAGCGAGGGCCTCCCAAGAGGGTGGTAAGACTGACAAAAAATAAATAACATTGCATTTAATTTTGAAATAAATAAAGGAATATTTTCAAAATGTGGGTGCAACTTGATTAGATAATCTTACCTGAGAAGAAATCCCAGAGAAGTAGGAGGAAAAAGAAAAAATGACTGCTTCTCAGGTAAATGTGTCCCAGATCTGAAGGGATGTCATGTGTATAAAACTTGCAAGCCATCCTGCTCTCTGTGATGGTCCTGCCTAATTAGTTTGTTTCAACTATTTTTGTTCTTCCTGTCATATTCAATGGGTCTGTCAGACACTGCTCCCTACATAGCGTCTTTTGTTGTTTTCAATGATACTGCTTAGTTGTCATAAAATATTCTCCACAAATGTATGACTGCAGTATTAACAATATTCCCTTGTGGCCAGGCTCCGTGGCTCATCCTGTAATCCCAGCACTTTGGAAGGCCGAGGCGAGAGGATTGCCTGAGCCCATGGGTTCAAAATTCACCCAGGGAACCTGCGAGACCTCATCTCTACAATAAATCAAAGATAGCTGGGCATGGTGGCACATGCCTGTAGTTCCAGCTACTTGGAAGGCTGAGGAGGAAGGATCACCGGAGCCCAGCAGGACCACGCTGTGGTGGCCAGGAGTGTGCCACTTCCCTCCGGCCTTGGTGACAGAGTGAGACTCCAAAAAAACATGTTCCCTGGTTACTGGGGATCGTGGGAAGGCATGGTAAACAAGAATCCCATTGGAGATTTGGTAGATCCTCAGATCCTAATGAAAGATAGAAACTTTTTTTTTTCTTTAGTTGTAGTCTCCCTCTGTTGTCCAGAATGAAGTCCACTGGCAAACTTGTGGCCACTACAGTCCAATTAATTTTTTTATTTATTGTAGAGATGTCATCTTGCCAAGTTGCCCAGGCTGGTCTCACACCCAAGGGTTCAGGAAATTCTCTTGCCACGGCCTCCCAAAGTGCTGGGATTATAGGTATGAGCCTCTGCTCCTAACCAGAACTCATACTGTTAATGTTCTGTCTAGATGCTGCATCATCTCCATGCAGAACATGGTTAATAAAATGTATATTTTAAAAGGATGGCAGTTACTGCCCAAAATAACTCAGGAATGTCTGAGTAAAGATTAATTAGAAGAGACTTGCATTTTAGGATGCCAAAACTAAAAATATAAATACACTTTCAGAGATTACCTGCCATGAGAGATACCTGTAGGCTGATTTCTGCCTGACACATGTTTCCTTGTTATTAAACTGAGATTATAAATTACTATATTGGATGGGTGTGGTGGCTCAGCCTGTAATCTCAGCACTTTGAGAGGCTGAGGCAACAGAATTGCCTGAGTCTGTGTTTTGAGAACAGTTTGGGCATTTGGTGAGACCTTGTCTCTATAATAAATTGCAAAAACTAGCTAGGCACAGTTTCATGTGCATGTAGTTCTAGATACTTGAAAGTCTGAAGCAGAAGGATTGCCTAAATCTAGCAGATTGAGGCGGTAGTGACCATGACCATACCACTGCTCTCCAGCCAGGGCGACAAGAGTGAGACTCCAACTCAAAAAGTAATAAGAAATTACTATGACTTTTAGCCAAAAGATCTCAGCATGGATGTTTTGTTTCACCTGTGTGCCTTGACATCTCATAACAATTTGTTCCAGCTACTTGGGATGCTATTGAGGATGCATTTTTTTATCCCAGGAGATCAAGGCTGCAATAAGCTGTGATTAGCCAGGCTCGGTGCCTCAGCCTGTAATCCCACACCTTTGGGAGGCTGAGGTGAGTGGATTGCCTAAGCCCACGGGTTCGAGACCCGCCTGGGCAGGTGAGACCTCAT